ATTAAAAACCCTTTTTAAATCGATCCTGAGGTGTCAAATAAAACGGTTTGGCTCTGGCTTCTCGCTCGCTTCGCTCGCGAGTTCACAACTCTTATGGTTCTTCTGTTACTTCAGCGACAGCAAGTGGACTAACTCCAATGTAGCATACTAAAAGACTGCAAGTTCTTCTATCATTATCGTTGCTTTGCATTGATACACTAAATTGATCTATTCGTTCTCTCATCAACTGATCTAGAATTCAAAATTGAATCAAAATATTTTCTCGCTTTTTGCTTCGTTTTTTACAGAAACATATACTCTCCAGCATTTCACCGTATTCCCCTTATGAAAATGTTAATTGTGATTTGGGAGGGTTTTATTTCTTCCAATTATCTGATTAATTTGCAGACAATTTAGTGTCATTGACTTATAATACCCAAATGTCGAATAGTAAAGAATAAAACATGTAACACGCCCCTGGTAGGTAGGCAACTTTCATAACTTCCCACCTTTTGCCCCCCCCCCCTGAAAAGTTGACGTGTCGGCGCCCCTGGATTTTCAATAAGCCACATGTCTCAGGTTCTAAAACTGGTCGAAACGTAGTAAATTTTCAACCCAATTTTTTATGCCAGAACCTTGCCATTATTTTAGAAATATTAAGAATCAAAAATACCGAATCGCTCTCGTCACGCTATAAAGGCATCTTTTAAAAGCATGGCAATGGTTTTCCACTGTCGCAGGTCTCCCGGTTTGACCGTTATCGTGCACGCCACCAAGTAGTGTACCCATCTGTTTCATTCTGAGGAAGAGCACGTCCCCGGAGGATTATACTGCTGCTCTATATATCAAATTGTAGTCCAATTTCCAATTATTTCTCAATTAAATGGTCTTTCGTCCGTTTCTCTATGATTTGTAGGTTTTGTTTAATAAATGATCTCCCGCGATCGCTTGCTTTTCACATGTCTGCCCCTTTACCAGGCGACTTATAAATTCACAAATTCTAATAATCTCCATGAACATGCATTTTTTGTGGACATTCAACCAGATGAAATTCTGAATATTCGCCAAGCTGGAATTAATATTTTCATTCGACGTCATTCGAAGTCTTTTCTGAAGTCTTTTATCTCACTAAACAGCGACGGTCTTTAGCCCACCCTTTCTGCTTTAGAAAAGCTATCTAGCGGGCTTATGCAAACGACCTCGTGTCTGTATGTCTGTCTGTCTGTTCGAATAGAAGGAAATGTGCTAGAGACTTCAAATTTCAGGTAGTAGTCGAGCGTTCAGCCGCCTGGACCGCGCGCTGCGCCGCCCGGCCCCGGCTGCGCATCACCCGAGATGCCCCGCCCCCTCCCCTTTTTCTGGTGACATTTGTGTCGGACAACCAAG